AGTTTAGCCATTCCTGTTTGCAGATGACATGATCCTATACGTTGAAAACCCAAGAGAATCTGCCAAAAACCTCCTTGCACTGATAAAGGACTTTGGCAAAGTCTCAAGGCATAAAATACACATACCAAAGACAGTCACATTCCTATACACCACCAACAAATAAACAGAAACCACAATTGCATTAAAAGCATAATTGCATTCACAATAGCCACAAAAAAAATGAAATACCTTGGCATCTTCCTAAACAGAGAAGTGAAAGACCTTTGCAATGAAAACTACAAAACAATGCTCAAAGAAATCAAAGATGACACAAACAAATAAAAAAATATTCCATGCTCATGGATTGGAAGAATCAACATCGTTAAGATATCCATCCTACCCAAGGCAATCTACAGATTTAACTCAATAACCATTAAATTACCAGCATCATTCTTCTCAGACCTGGAAATGACAATACAGAAATTGCTATGGAAACATAAATAACCATGAATAGCCCAAATAATCTTCAGCAAAAGAAATAAAGCAAGAGGGATCATACTTCTAGACTTTAAACTTTATGATAAGGCTACAATAATGAAAACAGCCTGGTATTGGTACAAGAACAGGCATATACACCAATGGAACAAGATAAAGATTCCAGAAGCAAAATCTCAATTTCTCAACCAGCTCATCTTCAAAAAGACTCCACCATCAACCACTGGGGAGAGTAGAACCTATTCAGTAAATGGTGCTGGGAAAACTGACTGACCGTATGCAGGTTAAAACAAGACCCCTACCATACACAAAAATCAACTTTAAATGGATCAAAGACTTAAACATAAAACCTCAAACCGTAAGAACTTTAGAAAATGCAGGAGACACCCTTATGGAAATTGGAACTGGCAACCAATTCCTGATCAAAATCCCAAATGCCCATGCCATAAGAGATAAGATAGACAAGTGGGACCTCATCAAATTAAAAAGCATCTGAAAGGAAAAGAAACCATCAAGAGAATCCACAGAATGGGAAAAAATATTTTTCAACTGTATATCTGACAAATGCCTAACACCCAGGATCTACAAGGAATTCAAATGTGCCAAAAAGAAAAAACAACAACAACAACAAATAGCCCTATAAAAAAGTGGGCATAAGATATGAATAGACACCTCTCAAAAGAAGACATACAAACAGCCAACAGATACATGAAAAAATGCTCAGCCTCACTAATCATCAAAGAAATGCAAATTAAAGCCACAATGAGATACCACCTAACTCCAATCAGGATGCCCATCACCAATAACTCAAAAAACAACAGATGCTAGAGAGAATGTGGACAAAAAGAAACACTTCTACATTTTTGATGGGAGTGTAAACTAGTATAACCTCTGTGGAAAACAGTTTGGCAATTCCTAAAAGATCTTAAAATTGACCTTCCATATGACCCTGTAATCCCCCTTCTGGGAATATACCCTGAAGAACTCAAATCACTCTATGAAAAAGATACTTGCACACACATGTTTATTGCAGCATTCTTCACAGTAGCAAAAACATGGAACCAACTGTGCTGCCCATTGAAAGAGTACTGGATTTAAAAAAAAAGTAGTACATATACACAATGAAATATTGCACAGCCATAAAGAAGGACAAAATTATGAGTTTCACAGCAACTTGGGTGTACTTAGAATCCATAATACTGATGTTCTATTACGAAAACAAAGAACTAAGTACTACATGCTCTCACTCATAAGCGGACCTCAACCTTAAATCATACTATAAGAAAGGAACTGGCAGTAGTGAGAAACTGCCAGGGGAGGAAGGGGGAAGGGACACACCTCATCAATAAGTGTACCTGATCTCAAACCAGGTGAAGTGGGGAACAAAGTGATGGCCAAACTTTACCTACACAATGACCATTTGTATACCTTACCCTGAATTGCACCCCGTGCATCTAAATAAAAATAATTAAATTAAATTAAATTTAAAAAAGAGAACTCACAAATAAGGACATAAAGGAAAAAGGTAAAATGTTTGTAGAAATCTGGTAATAAAGAAGTTATTAGCAACTTTCAATATAACAGTTTTTTTTTAACCCCTTCTCAAGGGGGTCACTGGTTGAATAGAAATGATATTTCTTTTTTAGTCTTGTTATTTCTACATTTTTTTCTATTCCATTTTTCAAAGTATTAAGATAAGTCTATTTCAGTTGTAGCTAATAGCAGTAATCAGCAACAAAAAATGCTCTTTTTTTTTGTCATGAGAGGGATACTTTGACTCCTAAATTTGTACTCTCTAACTTACTGATAACATTGCCTGCCAGACAATGCTTTTTACGTGATTGGAAAACAATAACCTGACTTCAGCTCTAGCCTGTCAAACCTACCAAAGTGTCTGCAATTCATTTACCATCTAATCACGCATGTACTTCTGTTTTTAATTTCTCTTTCATTTCTGAACACCAGCCAATTGATTTTTCCTTTGCTTGGGAAACATATAAAGAAAAGGAAATAAAGCCATAAGCTAAATTTCAGACATAGAAATCATACATATATTTCTGCTTAGGGTTCTGAATACAGAAAACTTCACTCAAACTTGTTTAAACATAACAAGGTCCAAATTCAGAACTCACTTAAATGCAATTATCTTCCTTGGTTGCATTAAAGTGAAAATTACCTTTTCTACTTTGTTTTCTTTTTTCCCAATAAGGGACTTCAACTCCAGTTCATAACTCAATGGATTAATCTCACCAGTAAAATCATCGACAGGTATTATTCTGGCTTAGGTAGCACCAGTCCCTTGCTCTTGTCCCTATTTCTTACCAAAGAGTGTTATTTGGTTCCTTCAGAAACCAAATAATAAACAGTTTCAGTTTCTCATTATGATATTCTCATACACCGCTTTTCAACAGAAAGATGACTCAACATAGAAATTTTTATTGCAGTTCTACAATTGTTCTAATCTGTATTTTACATACCTTAGACTGATTTATTAAAAAGAACTATTATACTAATTTTCATCATTACTTATTCTTGTCTATTAATATTCATCATTACTTATTCTTCAGACTAATGATTTATATGGTTAAGTATTTTACTATTAGGAAAAGGTGGTAGAGTATTTTGTTATTGATCTTGTTCTTTGTTACTTCTTGATGCACTTGAGACAAAATTCTAAAATTTTGAAATGTAATATCTCAAACCAAAATTATGATCCACACATAGTAACAGCAACATCACACCAAAAACAAACAAACAAAAACCTGGTCTCTAAGTTCCCTGAGTGGGTCACTTTGTAGTGGGCTTTGCCCACCCTTCCACTCTGTCTACCTCATATGCTGAAGATGGAGACAAAGAAACAATTTCAAATCTTTCTAAAGTGTATTTTGAAAAAAAGGAAATTTGCAGTAATAAAGACAAAAACAATAAATAATAGAAGTGACATGAATTTCCAGAACTAGTATATTTTAAAATAATATTGAAAAAGGAAGGTAAGCAGAGGTAAAATTTTAAGCTACATACTCTGCCCCTCTTTTTCACTAATCTTCTATTTAATGGCCAAGATAAAATTGCATGGCTGTTGAGTCAAACTGTCTCTCTAATTTCAAGTTTAAAGATAACAGATCTCTTTTTAAATAGATTATTGGCACACAGACACCCCACAATCTGGTTTATTGCAACTGTTCTCTGTAGGTGAAGTGGCCCGTTTGCAATCCCCATCACAGCTATCTTAACCATTTCACAGCATATTTTTCAAAAGTATCTTTAGGTGACACCAGGAATAGGCTCTTGAGCTCTGTAGCAAGGGATCTGCGGGGAAAATCCTAGGATAAGTGGCAGGAACCTTTAAATGAGAAGAAAAGCTTGAAGATGCTCACGGAGCCTGGGCTTAGATTGGGCAGTTCCATTGGCTTTCTGATTGTCTCCGGGGATGGCCACTTTAGAAACCTGAGGTTATTGGGGAAATCTTTGGACAAACGGGCTGCCTGATTTTTGGAAAGGACTTTCCCCAAACCCTAACCATTAGTCATCTCAAAACCCAGCTGAACGGAAAAAAAGAAAAAAAAAAAAAAAGCTTTAAGAAGAACTGGATAGACGGGCATTCACATTTTTACTTCTACCTGTCTATGCACAGGGAACATTCCTCACACCCTAGTGTATTCTGTTTGTTTTCTCAAGCCTTCTAGTAACTGCAGAGACTAGCATGAACGGAGTTCACGGGAAACCATGTTGATACAGGGCTAAACACAGGATATTTCGTTGCATGTGTGTGGGGGAAGGACACAGGTAACAGCATACCGAATAGGAAACCCCGTGTGAGGCAATGCCCTTTCTGGGTCCTTGACAAAAATCGGTCATGGAACCCAGGTGGTGGATAAGAACTGACAAGAGTTGGCCTGTGAATGGGCACCGTATTTCGGAGAGAAATCAATGAAAAATGATTGACAGAGAAAATGGTAAATGAAGGTAGAAGCGATGTCAAGTGCTGCCCAACCCAAGCCGAACTCCAGGAGATAAGTTTCTCCTCCAGTCAGAAAGTAAAGGTTCAGTACCGGAGCAGGTATTTTGACATTGAGGTGAGAGTAGACCTGTTTTGATTAACTGGAAGGAGAGAGGGAGGAGGACCACAGAAAGAGAGGGAAGATTTCTGATTACTGCCAAGGACCTGCTGCTCCAAATCCAGAAAATAACCAAGTGAAGGCAGAAGCCGGAAAGGCAGAAGAGCAACTCAAATTATTTTACGGTGTGAATCCTCTTCACTGGGTACGTGAATGTGGCATTGAAATGGTCGGTCGTGTTCAAAAGAGCACAGAGGCTGAATGCCTTCTTTGTTTGCCCAGTGACACCGCTCCTCCAACCTTCCACGCTCGGCCGATGAGGATTTGTTGCCGAGGAGTTACTCCTTTTCCCACTGCAGAGTGCAGCCGGGCTACCCCCTTCTTCCCTCGGTTCTGCAAACCCCATTATTAGCCGAGCGGAAAGCCCCGCGCAGCGTGGCCAAGAGCAAGCACAGCCGGGCTGCTTACCTTCCCCGGACCGAGTCAGCGCATGTCGCGGGCGCCCGCCGCCCCGGGCCGCAGTCCCTTCGCGCCGGGCCGTGAGAGTGTGGTCAGCCCGCGCCGGCCTCCGCCCCACCTGCCAGCTGCGACGGCCGCTCCCGCCGCCGAGTCCGGCCGCATGAAGTCATCCCCCGCCCCGGGCCGGATCAGCACATTCCGCGCCAGCCGCGGGGGGAGAGGCAGCGCGCCCGGCCGCAGGGAAGGGCGCCTGGAGACCGCGCCCGCCCGCCGCTCCCGCGCCGGGTCGCAGGTCTGTTTGCCACGAACGCTTCGAGCGATGCCGCGCCGCCGGACGGGGGCCCGAGAGAGAAGAGCCGGAGAGACTTTCTCTGCATAGCGTCCTTCCCCCGAGCGCCCCCCTGTCACTCCGGCGGCATGGACGGCTCCGTTCGTCGGTGAGGGGTTCCCACCCTCTTCATCTTCCTTATCAGCTTTGTTCATTTCGCCGAATTTGCGGGCTGGGATTGTCTTTTCCGATAAACACGAAAACACTCTGAAAATAATTTCGACTGGGAATCTTCCCAAACCCCTGGTAGCACGCTCCACCTCTCCTACGAGTGCTTACACGCGTACACACAGATAGACACACGCCGCCAAGTCACAATTTTGAAAGCTAGGACCTTTCTCGCCCTCTCGCCTACGTAAGAGAACGGGAATCTCCCAGAGGAGTGAAGTGGGGCTAATGGGAGAAAGCGCTCAAGGAAACAGAGGGGTCGCCCCAGGATTTGTTGCTGTCTGTGGTGCACTAGGGTACGGATGTTCCCTCTAACACCCCTTCTTTCCCCTTCCTCTCCTCGAGTCTCCTCCCCTCCCTGCCACCGAACTGGGCAGTCAGCTGTAACATCTAGAATTAAGAAGCAGAAGCCACATTAACAGATGGCTGTATCTCTTTCCTTTCCTGAGGATTTACCAAAATTTGTCTTGGTGATGAAGTACGCATATATGCATATATATCCTTTCTTCCTTCCCTCTTTAAATTCGCACCAGCTATTAACAAAGTTTCTCTCTCTCTCTCTCTCTCTCTCTCTCTCTCTCTCTCTCTCTCTCACACACACACACACACACACACACAATCTCTCTCAATCTCTCCTCTCCCCCCCCTTTTTTTCTCTCCTCCTTCTCTTCCTCTCTTGCTTCTTTCCCAAATTACAGACTATATTACCAGTTTAAGGGTTGAGTGTATAAGAAAAAAAAAAAAAAAATGGACTTAGAATTTGTTGTCTTTGCAACTGAGCCAGATTTCTTCCCTAGTTGTTCAGAGACGTGACCCAGTAGGGAGTCTCCTGGATACAAAGGTCCTGTGGGATGGAGTTCCCTCTTTTAACTTGCCTTGCTCTTGTAGCTGTCCATCACTATGTCCAGGCCAGCTTTACACTGTGGCATTGTCCAGTAAACTAAACAGTGCAATTGCGCAAGGCCAGGAAAACACCTTTGCTACATAAAGCATTTTCATTTCCCTTTATCACTTTCTAAATTGGTCATTTGTGTAGCCAACAGTATTCTGACAAAATTTAGTTAGAATTCTTGGTCCCAGAATATATATTCTTTGCTAGAACAATTTATCTTTTTGAATCTCACTTTCATAAAATTACTTCATTAATTTTACCATAGAGCAGGGGATTCTTAATCTATATCAAAGGAGTATATGACTACAATTGCAGAGGGCATAATTTGGATGGAATAATTGCATTTTTAGTTTTACCAACTTACCGCTGTTTTAACACGTCCTTTAAATATAAACATATGGAACAAAACACAAGAACATTAGGAGTATCTGTGACTTTGTTTCCAACAGAAACCACAAAAATTTTCTATAGCAATTTTTGTAGATATTTCCAAAATATTACTACGCTGATGTTAAATCATCACTACATTTTTGTTTTATTTAATAGACTATATTTTTCAAATGGTTTGGATTTACCAAAATCTAAGGAAATAATACAGAGAATTCCAATATATCCTATTCCTAATTCCCCCTAATAATATCTTACATTAATATGGTACCTTGGTTGCAATTAATGAACCAATATTAATACATTATCATTAACTAAAATCTATACTTTCAGCTCCTCTGATTTTTACTTTAATGTCCTTAAATCTGTCCCAGGTTCCCATCCAGGACACCACATTGCATTTAATTGTCATGTCCCCTTAGGTTTCTTTTGGTTGTGATAGTTTCTCAGACTTTTCTTGTTTTTGATGACCTTGACAATTTTGAAGAGTACAGATCAAGAGTTTTGTAGGATGCTTCACTAATTGCAATTTGATGCTTTTCTTATAAGACTGGGGTTGTGAGTATATTGGCAGGATGATCACAGAAGTAAAGTACCATTTTTATCAATCATATCAAGATAATATACTGTCAATTTGATTTATCACTGTTTATGTTGACCTTTATCACCTGGCTCAACAATAACTGTAAGGTTATTGCCAATCCCTTATGTACTGTACTTGTGGGAAGCCACTACATAAGCCCAAACTTAAAATGTAGGGAGTTATACTCTACCCCCTTGAGGACAGAGTTTGTATATAAAGAATTTTGAATTCTTCTGCACAGGAGTTGTGTCTAATTCTCCTCAAATTTTTTATCATTATTTGTTTGTATCAATGTAGACTCATGAATATTTTATACTTTGGGTGATAATCCATTACTATTGTTTTTTTGTCGTTCAGTTTGTTCCAATTTTGGCTACTGGGAGCGCTTTCAGTTCATGTCTGTGCTCCTTTGACATACCCCCTTTGATGTGTGAGTGTCTGTGTAGTGGAAGGGGAAGAGTAACATTTCCTTACTTTCTGTTATTACAAGACACTCCAAGCTCATAGTGTATATTTTCTGCCTGTGTTGTAGAATCAGTCATTTCTTCAAGAAGCCCTGGTTGTTTCTTTTATTGAAGAATAGCAATAGACACCAAAATCTGGGCTCAAAAGACATGGTCATTGCTGATGTGGTGTTGTTTTGTTTAGGCCTTCTTAACTAAGAGAGAAAAGAAATATGTGTATATTCACTCATGTATAGATACATATCTATAAATATTTCTATATATAATCATTGGTATATATTAAGCTAAATATGAGTCTATACTGTCTCCAACTTTAATCTGTGAACACATGGATCATTCCAGCTTCTTCTCTTTCTTGTCTGTAAATTCCCACTCCACTATTGAGAAACACGGCTCTCATCATCCACCATTTATATACTTAATTGCTCGATTCCAATGTAGCTGCATATCAATATCAAAATTTTTACCCCATTCTTCCAACATTCCCATTTTTAAGTATGGTAGTTAATAGAACCCTCCTATATTTATAAACCATGAATTTATTTTTAAATATTTGGGTATTGTAAATATTATACCTGTACTTTAATTATTTTTAAACTGGTAATTAGTTTTTTTGCATATATAGATACCATAAATATATAAATACTATATGCTTTTAAATACTATGTATATATACACTATATATAGTATACCATATATGAATTTATATATTTATATATACATATATAAATATATATAAAACATAAATACTATATTATTTTAAATACTATATCTAGATATCTAGATATAGTATTTAAAAGCATTATTTTGAGAAGAATTACATAGGCTGCTCCAGATTCTCATAGAGGCCCGTGGCAAAAAGGTTAGATTTCCAACTACAGAAGATTATTGTGAGGATGTAATGAGATGATGTAAGATTGCTGATGCAGAACTTTGGGGAAGCTGACACTCAATAAGTGCTATCCTTTCCCATTTATGAAGGCTTCTATCTCCTTTGCAAGTTCTAAATAACTTGGAAGAGAGAACGTGGCTCAGCCTTAATAATTTAAAATTTAGTTGAAAGATTTACTAGGTATCAGGTGTTGGAGATAAAGATCCCTATGAAGTAAAAGGGTGGGAGGATGAGAAGATGAAGAGAACCCGGAAGTTGAGATAACTGAAGGTTAGTAGTTGAACAAACTTGGGCTTGGATCTCACAGCCTGACTTTGTCTTCCTTCTGAAATGAAAACAATGGCTGTTACACAGGCTTGTCCTAAGAGTGGAAGATCTTTTGATCCTTTGCTTCGCTTTGTCTGAGGTGGTGGGGATGTATGTCAGCGTGGTGACTTGTGACAGTGCCAGAACATGTTTTCTTGACCTCTCTGGTACAGTTTTCATCTGTGAATCCCAACTCACTGATGCCGTATAGACAGTTTTCCATGAGAATATAGACCTTTTCATCTATCAAAGCAGTCTTGCCCAGTTTTTATTTGTGGAAGGGAATCAGTGTGTTTGTGCTAGGGAAAAGACAAAAATTAAATTAAAAGGCAGAATTTAACAGGTCTAGATACTTTAGCCTGATAAAAGGCATAGGGAACCTGGAGAGAAAAGAAAAAAAAAAAGGGAAATATCTCATGTCAACATACAGAGTTTGAATCTGTCTTTTTGGAGCTTGATATATACCAATAATCTACAGAGTAGTGCAAGTGGGGCAAAAGATCCTTTTTTTTCTCTCTATGACTTTTTATTGCACAATCTTTTAAAAAAACTAAACTGGGATCTTGACTTTGAGGTCTTCAGTACTTCTTTTCTGATATTTTCAAATTAGAAATCAAATAGCCTAAGGATATCATGAGACTCAGCAAAGGAAAATGTGAAACCAGAGCCAGAGGCCCTTGTGTGCCTGGAGCTGTCAGCATTTAGAACCACTCCTTGGGGTTAAGGGAGTCCTTCCAGAAGGGACACATTTAAATGCAAATACACTATCTGGAGGAGTAACCAAGTATCTCATTAGCAACCATTAACAATTTAGCAGAGATTAGCTTCTCAGATTTATTATTAAGAGGAGTTGTCAGGGTGATTAGGCCCTAGCATCTGTCACCCGATTGACTGCCGGGTCTCCTGCTCTCATCACTCCATAGGGGTCTGCCTTGAGCAGGGGACTTGGTCTACTGGGAAAGAATTGGGCACTTAGTGCATAATAATCAATATTGTTTTACATAATTTTGACTTAATGAGATAGAGCAGGAGGAGGGTTTTGATAGTAAAAGTATCTTCTTTTGTGTGTGTGGTGGCTGCCAGACTTGGGTTGATTAATCATGCTCTACAGAAGTCTTACAATTTTATGACAAAGTATCTACTCTTAATGAGGTCAGAAAATACACAATGTAAAATATGTACAAAAGTAATTCAGAAATAGCAAGGCTAGAAGTAGAAACAGATACATTTAAGTAGTTTTCTGTAGACTAAGAAT